GGTTCCAGGAGCGACTTCTATGTTCAAATATTGGTATGTTCGTTGAAATATTCGCGTAAGAATACACTGTAATTCGTAGAGTTGGTACCAAAAACCTAATTAATGAATCTACTTAATAGATGCTGCAAAGCAGAACCTCTACAGTAGAGTTTAACTGGTTCCAGGACCAACTTCGAATGCTAAAATATTGGTATGTTGGTTCAAATATTCCCATCAGAATACACTTTAATTCCTAGAAATAGTTCCAAAAACCTAATTAATTAACCTACTTAATAGATATTGCAAAGCTAAACCTCTAAATAGGAGTCTAACTGGTTCCAGGAGCGACTTCTATGTTAAATATTGGTTTGTTGGTTCAAATCTTCCATCAGAATACTCTGTAATTCCTAGAATTGGTTCCAAAAACCTACGATAACTCCTTAATAAATACTGCAGATAATTACACAGAGCAAGAAAACAAATGACTTCTAGAAGAGAGATGGAAAAATAATTAAATGATAAAGAAATAATCAATAAAAAGGGTTTTTATTGGCCCTTATTGGTGAACGGAGGTAGAGGTGGAGACTGAGAAACAGGACCAACCCTAACTTACTCTGACTTTACTACAGGAACTGTATTTATTTTTATATTTTATATATATTTTTTCTATGACTTTGTCGTATGTTGGAAATTTACTTTTTGAATTGGATATTGTATAGATCAAAGATGGATTATCATAAGTATTATTTATTTGATTCTTACTAAAAGCGGAATTTTCAAGTAAAATTTCATTCCAGTGCAGTAATTTTTTATATATAAAAAAATATATATAATATAAAATATAATAAAATATATATATTTTTAAATTTCATTGAAGTACCATAACATTTATTTAATTGATTTCTTATTATTATTATCATTATTGTTTTTGTGAAGCTTACAGGGAAAAAAAGTGGCACACAGAGAGCTAAATGCAAAAAAATACAAAAAATAGTTGACTAAATAGAGACTAAATGTGTATAACCCAAAAGAAAATAAGAATATATATAAAAAGTAAAAAATGAAAACTCCTAAAATAAGCAAAGAATAAGAATATAAATACAGCGTGAAAATAAAGACCCCTAAGAAAATAAAGGATAGATTGACCAGTGATATGGTTTTGCTCTATGTGGTTTGGCCTGATAAATATGGAGTTCACAGATGGGATAGAAAGAAGCATCAGAGAGGCTGGGGGCTATTATTAGAAATGCAGGCTTTCTTAGAGTAAAGATGATCTGAAATTATCCAAAACGATTGGAAACGGTCGTTTTTTTCTGGTGTGTGAGGTGTGTTTTCTGTGTGAGGACTGCAGCAGAGGCGGGAGGAGGTGATGGATGGTGGAGGGGGAGAGTTACGGCAGGACACCGGCTTTTGTCCTTGATTTTTGTGTGTGTGTGTGTGCGTGTGTGTGTGTGTTCCTGCGTGTGCGTGTGTTCCTGCGTGTGTGTGTGTGTGTGTTCCTGCGTGCGTGTGTGTGTTCCTGTGTGTGTGTGTTCCTGCGTGTGTGTGTGTTCCTGTGCGTGTG